CCCCAAAACCCCAAAACCCCAAAACCCCAAAACCCCAGCTATTTTATAATTTATAGAAAATTACATTTCCTAAATTGCAATGAACAAGTCTAAAAGCAAAAGTCTTGCTAAAAAGATTCTCAAGTCAATGGCCACTCAGGAGTCTAAACTTAAGAAAAATTTCTTCACGCAGAAGCTCAAGCAGAACATCGTTCGCAAGAAAGATCTGAAGCGGGAATGGACTCTTGTAGATATTACTGATTATTTGAATTCGATTTCTCCAGGACAGCCTAAACTTACAGTTGAGCAGGTCACAGCCCAGTACGAAGATCTATGCACAGAGGACTACCAGCGAAAGAAAGTCTGTAACTGAATAGTCGACCTCATGTTTCAGAAAGGTATTACAAGAATTAATGAGTGTCTTCAGAAAGGAAAAGCTCAACCAGGAAAGAAAACTTCGTTTGATAATGCGAAGTTTGATAAGATTATTACCATTCCTCTGAATGAGCCTGATGACTGAGATGATGTAATTAACTTTAGGAAGTCCCGTAGCCAGATACATGGAGGAAGAGAGAGCAATTGCTCTGTTACTCCTAAGCTTGAGCTCAATGCTGCAAACACAATAGAAAGTAAGGGTAAAAGTGAGAAGAAAGAAAGCACACCCGCTAGCAAAGTATGCCACCCTGAAATCAATCGAGCAACTCTTGAGGAGAAAATGATTGCTACAGACTCAAGCTTAAAGCGTGCTGACTTGGAGACAGAAGAAGACCTGATAGATACTTATGTTTCAAAGGAGCCCCAGGAAGAAGAATTCTTTGTTAATGATATGGTCGCATAATCGAATATAATAATCTTATGATTGCAATAAAATTAACTTAACTTTTGTTAAAATTGCTCCTTTCTTAAAAACACCTCGGGTTCGCAAATTTTAAAAAGTCTGGATAGTTTAGGACCAGCCTAACTCTGAAGTCGTAAATAAGTTTCTTAAATTTTAGATATGTTTTCCTCAAAATTTCTCGAAGGTTTCAATACGGTTGTTAACTTTTTAACAGATTAGGTTCAGATTTCAATAATAAAGCCCACTCGAGAATCTTTAGGGAACAGGAAGTCCCTGATATTTTTCAGAGATATAACTTGACCTCTTTTTATACCATTATTTTTATTATTAGCTCTTTATTATTTTCAAAGCAATCTCTGATACTTATCCAAGAAGAATCTTTTTAGGTTATATTTTTAGATTAGACGTACTTCAGACTGTATTCGTTCATTTTAATACCTATCCCTTCAACTAATCCATTGAAAAATTCCGTATCTTTGCTAAGATATCTTACTTACTCGAGAAATACTCGATAGTGAATTTTCTGATCTAAAGTAGATAAACAGCATAGTGAACTACTTTCTCTCGGTTATGGTCTTCATATACCTGCTCACCATTCTATCTTCTCAGAAAATACCCATCACCAAGTCCACCAACGACATTTCCTAAACTATCCAATAAGTTATAGGAATTCCAGATTCCCAAAAAATTGAAGAAAATCTCAGCTACAGGATTTCAATCCCTTTGAAATATCAGATTTGGTCTCATTCGAAACTTTATTATTGATAATTCTTTCACAATTGAATTCTCTGAGAGACTGGTCTCTTAGTATTTATCCAAGTTCAATTCCTGAGCTCTTGTAAGGGGTTTTGGGGTTTTGGGGTTTTGGGGTTTTGGGGTTTTGGGG